ATTTTGAGCCAAATGACGATGACAACAATTTAAGACAGGCAAGGCGATAGTCAATGAAATGTAAATGGAGAATTAAATTTTTTTTTCAATTTTTTACCATATATATATTTTTAAAATGCCCAAAAAGGCTAATATATTAAATAGAAATAAAGATACAAATATAATATGTGGAAGGGCCCAGCCCACAGAAAAACCACAAATGTTACCAAAACTAGAAAAAAATAGAAAAATACATTAGATATTAAAATAAAAAGCCTAACAGTGCTGAAATACATAGTATCAGGTGGCTAGAGAGCGACCCAATTTGGTCTTGCCTCTACCTCTAGTTCTAGGGTAGGATTAAGCTAATAAGCTGGTAAGATGATTGCCATTGCCAATAGTAACCAATGTATCATCTAATATATTCCCGAGCTGGAGTCGGCCTTCATTCTTTTTCTTCCTCCTGGAATAGACCTGCACTTCCTCTTCCGAAGAATCAGTCTGATGGGGTGGTAGAACTGAAGCAGAAGTATCACCAACCGTATTACCCACAATAGGTTCTAGTATATATGAAGTATGAGTTGCCTCTAACATTTGTAGGTAATAGTCCATTAGTATTATTTTTTATGAGGTTTGAAGGTATCAGTATCACATCACTCGCAGTAACAGTAACAACGGTGTTATGGGGGTTCCTCAGGGGCAATAAACACCTCATGTCTGGTAGTATCCTCCCCAAGTGGAACTAAAATGTCCAGAGCAGTGGGGTTAGGCCCAGCCTCATTCACTTGAACCTTAGATTTCAAATTTAGTAGAAACTTGTGACATTTATCAAGGACATGACCAAACATCTTATAAGGAGTACAATATGAGGGTCTGTGCTCCATGACGATTTGTTGCCAATAACCATTATGGGTTGTGCCCAGCCAGACTTCAGTAATATCAGGTAAAGTAATATCCCTTTTCACAAGTAACAAGTATTCACAAGTATTCTGGCTATCGAGGGTCTGGTTAGGTTGAAAGTAGACAGATCTAGTTTCAAAGGTTCCCCATGGATGACCCCAAGAGAGTAGAGAACCTGATGGCGAAAAAAATGCAACTTGAGACCTGGTAAACTAAACCATACTGGTACAGTGGGAGTTTCATGATTTGGATCGAAATCAGGAGACCACTTGAGTAGCTTCATAGGTTTACCAACAATGTTAAGATATTTTTTGGAGAAAATCCGAGTGTAGTCTTCAGACATGGTTAACTGAATCAAAACATCTCCAATCCATAAGCCCCACTTTCCACTTTTCTGCTAATTTGAGGTCATCAAAACTTTTCCTGATAACCTCCATAGGTGGGTGTCTCACTGAAATTTCCCAATGAGAGCAAACTTGAATTTGTCAGTCTTTGTCAGTTGTCAGTCAGGGTTGAAATTTCTGACTCTGAGAAAAAGAGTGATGCCTTCTCACTTTTCCTGCTTGCATTCTTAATAAAGGGGCAGCCAGCTGTACCATCATGATTCTCCTTATAACTTGAGGGGAACATAACCACTGTCTTCCCCTGAGGATTACCCACAATGTGGGCAAAGGAGGTTTTGCCCGGTTCACCCAAAAAAGGAGGAAGCTCCATCGAGAAGCCAATCGGGTAGAGGGCTGAAGAGGTCGGGGCGCTGCGCAGAAGGCAGTAAACCGTGATGCGAACTATAGGGCACAGGCGTTGTTCCCGAACGATTCTCGTGAGAAGGCGTCGTTCGCGTACGATTCCTCTCTCTCTCTCTCTCTCTATATATATGGGTTTTGACCCATGTCGAACCCTAGAAACTCTTATCGCATAAGATCATTTTCTTTCCTCACATTTCTTCTCCGACGTCGTCTCTCCGTCGTCGTCGTCGGTTCGCGCTACTTCGACGTCGACTGCGGCTGACGTCTGCGACATTCCAAGTCGACAAAGTTCGCGTCTGCTGCGTCGTATCTGTTCGATTTCGACGCCGACAGGTTCGCACGTTTCACACTGCGCGACATTTTGCGGCTTCGCCCATACCATCTTCGGCTCGTCATTCCTGCCCTTTGACCGATTCTAATTGCTGTGATGGAGCTTCCTTCTTGTTCAGTTGAATTTGGCAAAACCTTCTTTGCCCTCGTGGTGGGTAATCCTCAGGTGGAGACTGTGGTTGTCTTCCCCTCAAGTTATAAGGAATATCGTAATGGTATAAATGACTGCCCATTTATTAAGAATGCAAGCAGAAAAAGTGGGAAAACAACACCCTTTTTCTCGGAGTTAAAAATTTCAACCCTGAATGACAAATTCAAGTTTGTTCTTATTAGAAAATTTCAATGGGGACACCCACCTATGGAATTTATTAGAAAAAGTTTTGATGACCTCAAATTAGCAGGAAAGTGGAAAGTGGAAAGTGAGGCTCATGGATGTGAGACATGTCTTCATTGAATTAACCGTGACTGAAGACTGCACTCGGATTTTCTCCAAAAAATATCTTAGCATTGCTGGTAAATCAATGAAACTACTCAAGTGGTCTCCTGATTTTGACCCCAATCATGAACCTCCTATTTTACCGGTATGGTTCAGTCTATCAGATCTCAAGCTGCACTTTTTTCATCATCAAGTTTTTTACGCTATTGAGGTCATACTTGGGGACCCTATGAAACTAGATCTACTGACTTTCAACATAACCATACCTTTTGTGGCCAAAATACTTGTGGAAAAAGATATTAATTTACCTGGTGTTACTGAAGTCTGGTTGGACACAACTCATAATGGATATTGACAACAAATGAAGCATAGATCGCCTTATTGTTCTCATTGTAAGATGTTTGGGCATGCACTTGATAAATGTCATAAGTTTTATCCTGATTTGAAATCTAAAGATCAAGTGAATAAGAATAAATATAATCCCACTACTCTGGACATATCAGTTCCATCTGGAAAGAAAGCTACCACAGGACAGGTTTTGGATATCGCTAAAGATCAACCACCTATCATCCCTATTGAGAAGGTGCAAACCGATCCTCTACCCAATATTGCAGTTCTTGATGAAGAACACCATACTACAGATACAGATCCAAAAGTCTTATTTACATGCCAAAACACTCGAGAGTGCTCCTTTGATTCAGTCAAAGATCAGCTGGTACAACAAGCAGTTATTTCTAATGTTCAACATCCTACACATGTCTGACACATTTTAGACCAATCCACTGATCAGGCGAGCCTATCTTCAGATGAGAAATGACAGGTCTATTCCAGGAGGAAGAAGAAGCCTGGAAGCCGACTCGAGCTTGGGAACTAATTGGATGATACTTTGGCCACTACTGACAATGACACTCATCTTACCAATTTATTAGTTGGCTCCTTTCCTAGTACTAGAGGCGGAGACAAAGCAAAATTGGGTCGCTCTCTAGCCACCTGATACTACGTTTTTTTGGCATTTTTTCTTTTTTCCTTAGGTCTTTTGTAATTTTTTGTATTTTCTCTTTTTTTTGAACCATTTGTATGTGGTGATTAGCTTGGGGGAAGGGTGCCATGCTTGGGCCCTTCCACACAATTTATATGTATCCTTATTTTCTTTTATTAAAGCAAGTGATACGGCTTCAAAATTTATTTTTTGGGACGTTGGAGGGGACAACATCTCGGTCTGGCATGACCAATGGGGTCAAGGTGAAGTTTAATTTCCTTTACAGCACGGGATTTTGATTGACGTGATTATCTCTAATTTGTGGCTTCATGATAATTGGAATGTCAATAAATTAAATGAATTTATTAGTGCTCAAGAGACTAAGATATCTAAAATTCCTATAAAAAATTCTACGAAGGACCGTCCTTTGTGGAAATCTACTGTTTCTTTATCTCCCACCAAAATGCTTTATGCTAGTCTTTATCAGTATAGTGATTGGACATGGGGGAATGTTATTTGGAACAGGCTTATTTCTCCATCTATCTTCTTTTTGTGGAGGTTTTTTCTTAATATGTTACCTTTTGATATTTTTAAGCTTAAAGGTTTGAAATTGACATCTCAATGCTATTTCTGTAAAAGAGATTCCGAAACGGTTTCACATCTTTTCTTTTTATTTCCTTTTGTTGCTGATATTTGGAACATTTTGGGTTACCATTTTAATATCAAATGGTTGAACTCATCTTCGATCGCTGATTTTCTTAATGCTTGGAGTGATGCTACTAAGGTTGATAAATAACGGTTTTGGTTCTCTTGTGGCTCTTTGGTTCTCTTGTGGCTCTTTGGTTCATTTGGGCGGTGAAAAATGATGCTAAATATGGCAATAATATGTCTGCCCCTTCTATTACCGTTTCTAACATTATTGGTCATTTTTATCGAGCATGTCGTGCTCTTTGCTTACCTGGTGATACTGCTCGGTCTAGGTTGGGTAGGAAGGCCATTTTCTTTAGATGGAAACCCCCATCTTTGAATTTTTGGACCACTCTACTAATCACGCATGATTAGTTTTATGATTAGGTCCATTGAAGCCTATCACAAATGGTTTTTACAGTTTTTAAATATTTGAGTTTTGATTTTGACTTGTTTATCTTGTTGAGCATCATACCTTACAAGATTGTTATAACTGTTTTACTAGAAAAAGAAAAGAAAATGCTGATGCGAAGTAAGAATAATATTCAATTCTATGATCATATTCTGCTATACAGCTGTTATAAGATAGAGAAGTATTGAAGTAATATATTAAACGAAGTTTATATTCTGTACAAAATTTTTGATGTGTATTAGATGCTCTGTAGATATATTAATGAAATATTTTAAATTGGTTCTACTTAATTTGAATGGTTGGATTCTACTTGATCTGTATAAGTACAAGTGATTTGTTATATATTATTAATAGTTGAAAGAACTAGTATATTTTAGCTTCCATTATGTCTATTATGTGGGACACTCATGTTAAACTAGTATGTCTTGTTTCCAAACGGAATAATAACTTTTATTACTGTAGCTAGCTTTTTGCTTTACTAGTTGAAAGAACTAACAATTGCTTTATATTAATTTCTTTCTATTATTATAGCTCAAAAGGGCGTTTCCCAAGAAAAACATACCCCCAGCTCCGCCAAAGCATGCTTTAATGCGAATTAATTCTAGCCGTCTGCTCTTAGAACAGGTTGGTAAATTCAACTGTTCTACTGCCTAGAAGGTGGTGTTTGAATTGATTTATATACTGTTTTTTTAATTTATTTTCTCGTTGAAGTCTACGCGTTTTGTGAATTTCCTTGAAATTGTAGACCGCATAGTCCATAAATTATCAACTTTTTTTTGGAATACTAATCTATAAATCAGTTGTATTCTTTGATACGGTCTTCATTCTTAGACATCTTTGGTCCACAGCAAAATATTAACTGAGCTTCTTTGACTGTATCGGCAGGTCTTTCCTTGCCAATGACAAATGCTTATTAAATAAAAGCTCACCCTTGCACATATACTTTGTGACAAAAATCTTTATGAAATTAAGTGAAACAGAGAAACACGCAGTCTTATTATTTTTGCTTGCACCTGAATTTAATTTTTGGACTTCCGGTTCTTTGTACCTTTATTTTTATTTTATTTAATTATCATCAGGTCACCTTCACGTTTATTGCCATTAGCCATTGGTGATGGCATCTTTGTTGAAGATGTTTTAAAGTCTTGATGTTAATTGTTGGTTTCATTAATATTTTTTGCATAAGTTGTTTAAACTGGGAAAGAACGAGTTCAAAATTAAGGCAAAACTTTGCTGGAATGAATGAAATCATTTAGCCGATCTCTAACAGTTGGGTTGAGGGTAATAATGTTGTTGTTTCTAACTTTCGAGGAGCAAGCCATTTTGAGCATTGTTAGCTATATGGAAACTGAAAAATAAAAAAGAATTTGACCTGATTCAATAATTATTGTTTTAATTTTCCTTTTAATATTCTGGAATGTTTTTACTTTTCTTTTTTTTTTTGTTTTTTTAGTTTTTTTATTTCCTATTTTTTAGTGGGTAGTATTGTATGTCATCTGTGGCTTGCCTGAATGCTTAAATGAACCTGTTACCCTTTTTTTCTCGATGCTTTCTGCCAGCTGTAGTTTAGGGCTTGGCGCCCTTCTCATTAAAAAGCTAAATATTTCCTTCTACCGTTCATTTGTGAGGTATTTTCATGTCGTCATGTTGGTCTAAATATTCATGCTGAAGTTAAAAGAGTAAATTAGATCAAATGGTAATCTCGAAGGTCAAACTCAGAATAATAGTGGCGCTATTCCTTAATGGGCATAGAATTTGTGTGTAAGTAAGTTTCTAAATGCAAATTGGTTCTGTTGTTGTTCAGAAAGTTACTGTTAGAGCAGAATAAATGCTGTTAAGCATGATGCTAGCTAAATGTTTTGAATTTCTAATTGATGAAATGAAATCTATTGGCGGTAAGATAAAGGTTTGTATGAATGGCAATACTATGACTGCTTATTGTCTGTTGTTAAACTTTAACTTGTCACGGTGCATGAACATTGCCAACTTTTAAGCATATACTTTGTCTTTTTGAGCTAGGGCAATGCTCGATCTTAATTATATATATATAATGCTTTTTTCATTCTTATTTTCCTATGATATATTATAAGTAACATGATTGATTTTTTCATTGTCTACTTTATACAATCTAGACATTGCTTTGTCGACACCATTTAAATTTCACTTGTTATATATACAGTATAACTGAGACTCCTATTAACTTGGATGTACAAATGCCATGAAGTTGTAAATTTAGGATTAGTTGCATTCTTTTTTTGATGAATGAATAATAATTTCTGGAAATTTGCTATCAATTGAATGTTGCAGGAGTTGATCCGAAAAGGGCACAGAGCGATAAGAGAGAGGGTGCATTTTGGATCTCTTTCAAAATCTGACTTAGGTCCCACATAATAGACATAATGGAAGCTAAAATATATTCCTATAGGAATCTATATAGAAACTTAATAGCTGAAACACACAACTAGTTACTCCACGCAAAATTAGACCAAGGTGTTGGATGAAGAATTAAACATGTATGCGTGTATAACTTGTTGAGCACAATGTTAATGAAAACTCAATAACACAAGCCATTCAAATTAATTCACTAGTACCAAAACTATCACTCAAAAATCTACATAATGCTGAGTATGTATTTGCAATTCATGAGTTAAAAAATTTGTGTTGCAATTATATGAATTAACTCTACATAAAATCATCGGAGCTCATTATTTTAGATTTATCATAAGAACAATAATCTAGATGCAATAATGTTTGTGACATGTAGGTGCAAGAAGGTAAATCTGACAAATAATGGTGCCGTTATTGTTACTTGATTCAGCGCTCACTTAGCCTGCATCCACACCCAAACCTCAGCTCATCTAGGATCGTACTATCAATCATTGCTACAATAAGCTCACCTCTTTTATGGGGTAAAGGAAGCACTTACACAATAATTCACAGGTCAATAGCAACCTATCCTGTGCTTTACACCCAAAGTTTCACTAAGACTATCTCGCAAGGCTTAGCAATGCTCCTTTGTTTTACAAGAACAAAATTTATCCTAAACCAAAATTCTCTTAGATTTTGTTGGTGATTGAAAACTTCTTCCAATTCTCTCAGCTTAATCCTTTTATGATAAATATACAATAAAAGCCCTTGGATAAATTCTTAAAATAAAATGATAAGAAATTTACTTGATGCAAAAACAGTTGGGAGTTCAATAGAAAATGTAGCAAATATTGAGACCTCAAGTAATCAATTGGATTTGAACTTCTCTTTGAAAACTCCTCATTTGATTTTTCACTTTTGGTCCAATTTTCACTCTCACTACATTTTTTTTGGCTTGTGTGATATTTTTACTCTTAACCCCTTAATATATCTACTAAAATATATCAGAAAACTCATCAAAATTCTCTCCTCAAGTCAATTACTGACCGCTACTACGAAAGCAACATTGGAAAGCCCTAGTTTTTATTTTAGCTGCAGGTAAAATTGAAAATAACAAATATTTTGAGAAATCATATAAATTCATTTCTAGTTAAAAATTGGTTGAATTATAAATCGAATCATATTTAAACAATACACTGGAATAGGAATTATGCCTGAATCTTCTAAGTATGACATACATTTCTCATCATTACTTATTATCACATAAAAATATGACATGAGAAATTGAAGACGCGAAGATGTTGAATTTTGGATGAATATTCAACATCTTCAATTTCTTAACCTAGCATCTTCATCCCAATCTCCTCTCCCTTCAGTGTTTTTCCCCATGCATCTAAGGTAAAACTACCTCCGTCTATCATATTCATACCCTATCCCGACTTCTCTTTTCTTTTTCGTACTCCTCCACACTATTTGGATAACCTCTTCTATGTTTCTGCCCAACACCCTCCATGAGTAATCTCTAATCCACCCCGCATCAAAGTCATAAAATGGGTTCCTTGATGGTGGATGATTTCCTTCTCTTGTTTCTCTCGTCCTATCTCTTTGCTTTTCAATTTATCCAAAGATTCTCCAGTCAACCTTTGGTTAGTTTTTGCAAATTGAATCGCCGGGCGGATCTTGGATTGCATCTCAATAAGCCTCCTCATCATATCTTCCATGCTCATGAATCCATTTTTTATTATAGAAAATCTTTCCTTTTTTCTAAATTTAAGTCGGTTAATTTCTTTCTCCAATTTATTTTCCATATCATCCACTTTCTTGGCCGCGATTTCTTCCAGATGGCTTTCGATCATGAAGGAGGAACTATTGCATGCTAAAATCTATTTGTCCGAGTCATGTATGTATAGCAAGGTCATAAGCCCCTCCTTTGCTTCAGCTTCCTAGGTCTCGGCTTCCCAGCTAGCAGTTATTGCGATTGTATAGAAAGGCTTCGGTCACAAAGGAGATTACAATTTGCATTGCTATCTAGCTAGCTCCAACTACAATTGTATCATGATATCAGGTCACACTGTAACTCTCTTGTCCACTGCGACCCCCACGTGGCCTTCTCAGCAAGCTCTAATGGCGAGTACAAAATGAGAGAAGAAATATGGGAGTTTTGGGTCTTTGTATTCCGCCGAAGTTTCGGATCTATGTATGCCGCGGGTAGCACGCCGGATCCCGCTTCCTAGATGGTTGACTGTATCGTGGTACTCATTCACGACGATCTGTAGGCCTCGATTTCGATCGCCCATCAACCTATTTGCCGCTATCCGGATGGCAGGCTTCACAGAATCGAACGCTTTGATACTAATAATTACTTTATTGCGAGAATATCAACCAACTCAATACGAATACATAAGATAAGCACCTACAATTCAAGAGGTAAGCGATCTCTCCCAAATCCTACACTTTGAGAGGTAGGAGCTCTCTCCCAAACCATAACCCTTAGAATCCAGACCCAATCTCATGCATAACCCTAACCAGAAACTATTAATCCCTCTTTATACCTAACAATAGTTAATAATGAATGACAAAATTGTCCTTAAGCTAATAGAAGACTAAATTTCCTTTAGGCTAGGCACCGACATCACACATATCTCTTCAAATCATATCTTTCTTACTCTCAAACATTTCGAATATCACTCTCTGTCAAACTATTTACCATTATAGCAATTTTTAAAGAAAACTAATAAAATTTAACATTTAGACTAAAATATATTTTAAACAAAATATTGACTATGTTAACTAATTACATATGTTTTTTACTATTATCATGGAGTTTTTCAATTAATCCATCCAAGTTATCTTTAAATTTAAAATTAAAATTTGTTGAAGTTTTAAACTTATTCCTAAATTTCTTTTATTAAATAGCCCAGACCAATCTTAGATTACTTTATTCACCATCTCTAAATAACTTACTTTTGTAGTCGAAGATATGTCTATTGATAAAACTTTAAGACATATCATCATGGAAATTATGGTGCACCTCTTCAAGTCATTAGAAATGTTCTTAGGTAGGTGTTGGTGATCATTATCATCGACTTGAGTGAGGAGTTCAAGAAGAAATAATTTCTAGATATCATTGAGATCTTCAAGAACTTGCACACTTTAGAGGCTAGATGGATCATCGGAGTGTATGCTCCCTTGAGAAGGATCCTCTTCAAGTTTATTACTCCAGGGATGATCATGATGAGAAATTGTGTATACATCAT